GATAGTTACAATGATCAATTGTTTCAGTTCGTGGCATTCATATCTTTATGACATTTTGTGTCATTCCTATCTTTGGGTCATTTTGAGTTAATCATATATATTTTTTATGATTTTGTGTCACTCAAAATTTTGTGTCATTTTGTCATTCATATAGTTTGTGTCATTTTGTGTCACATTTATGTCATTTTGTGTCATTCGTATATTTTGTGTCATTTTGCACATATATTTTTTTGTCATTTTGTGTCACTCATATTTTGTCTCTTTCGCATATTTTGTGTCATTCACATATTTTGTGTCATTTTGTGTTACTCATATATTTTTGTGTCCTTTTTTGTCATCATTATTTGTGTCATTGTGTCATTCACATATCTTATGTCATCTTGTGTCTCATAATTTGTGTCATTTTTTGTCATTCATAAATATGTCATTTTATGCCATTCATATATGTCAATTTTCGTGTTATTCATATATTTGTGTCATGTTGTGTGTCATTCATATATATGTCATTTTGTGTCATTCATATATTTTGTGTCACTCATATATGTGTGCCATTTTGTGTCATATATATTTTGTGTCATTCATATATTTATGTCAATTTGTGTCATTCGTATTTTTGTGTCACTCATATTTTGTGTCATTCATATATTTATGTCAATTTGTGTCATTCGTATATTTTGTTGTCACTCATATATTTTGTGTCATTCATATATTTATGTCAATTTATGTCATTTGTATATTTTGTGTCACTCATATATTTATGTCAATTTGTGTCATTCGTATATTTTGTGTCCCTCATATATTTTGTCATTTGTGTCATTCGTATATTTTGTGTCACTCATATATTTTGTGTCATTCATATATTTGTCAATTTGTGTCATTCGTATATTTTGTGTCACTCATATATTTTGTGTCATTCATATATTTTATGTCAACCTGTGCCATTCGTATATTTATGTCAATTTGTGTCATTCGTATATTTATGTCAATTTGTGTCATTCGTATATTTGTGTCACTCATATATTTCTGTTCAATTTGTGTCATTCGTATATTTGGTGTCACTCATATATTTCTGTCAATTTGTTCATTCGTATATTTTTGTGTCACTTCATATATTTATGTCAATTTGTGTCATTCGTATATTTTGTGTCACATATATTTTGTGTCATTCATATATTTATGTCAATTTGTGCCATTCGTATATTTTGTGTCCCTCATATATTTTGTCATTCATATATTTATGTCAACCTGTGCCATTCGTATATTTATGTGTATATATATATGGTGTTATTTCGTATATTTATGTCAATTATGTCATTTGTATAATTTGTCCCACATATATGTATGTCAATTTGTGTCATTCGTATATTTGTTGTCACTCATATATTTCTGTCAATTTGTGTCATTCGTATATTTGGTGTCACTCAATATATTTCTGTCATTTTGTGTCATTCGTATATTTTGTGTCACTCATATATTTATGTCAATTTGTGTCATTCGTATATTTTGTGTCATTCATATATTTATGTCAATTTGTGTCATTCGTATATTTTGTGTCGCTCATATATTTTGTGTCATTCATATATTTATGTCAATTTGTGTCATTCGTATATTTTGTGTCATTCATATATTTATGTCAATTTTGTGTGTCATTCGTATATTTATGTCAATTTGTCATTCGTATATTTATGTCAATTTGTGTCATTCGTATATTTTGTGTCATTCATATATTTATGTCAACCTGTTCCATTCGTATATTTATGTCAATTTGTGTCATTCATATATTTATGTCAATTTGTGTCATTCGTATATTTTGTCACAGCGACTCAACATTCCGACCCTAGACTGAGGCGTATCACTCTCCGCTGGCGTCGCTTTCTCAACTCATCTGTGACGAGCTCTGGAAACCATCGGTCGGAGAAATTGTTATTATCTTGGAAACTTTGAATAGGTTGAAATAGTTGAGAGTCAGGCTTCTATAATGTGAAAAAAATGGAAATGTTATCCTTAGTCTTTGTTTATAATTATTTATAACCTCTTTATAACCGACAAAATCACGTAAAACTCATTTTCATATCCTATCTCTCGTTCTCTTTTTCCTTCCACAAAATCTCTCGTTCTCTTTCTTCACAATCTCTCGTTTCTCTTTCTTTCACAAATCTCTCGTTCTCTTTCTTTCACAGATTTCTCGTTCTCTTTCTTTCACAAATCTCTCGTTCTCTTTCTTTCACAAATCTCTCGTTCTCTTTCTTCACAATTTCTCGTTCTCTTTCCTTCACAAATCTCTCGTTCTCTTTCTTTCACTAATCTCTCGTTCTCTTTCTTTCACAAATCTCTCGTTCTCTTTCTTTCACAAATCTCTCGTTCTCTTTCTTTCACAAATCTCTCGTTCTCTTTCTTTTACAAATCTCTCGTTCTCTTTCTTTCACAAATCTCTCGTTCTCTTTCTTTCACAAAAAATCTCTCGTTCTCTTTCTTTCACAAATCTCTCGTTCTCTTCTTTCACAAATCTCTCGTTCTCTTTCTTTCACAATTTCTCGTTCTCTTTCCTTCTCAAATCTCTCGTTCTCTTTCTTTCACAAATCTCTCGTTCTCTTTCCTTCACAAATCTCTCGTTCTCTTTCCTTCACAAATCTCTCTTTCTCTTTCTTTCACAAATCTCTCGTTCTCTTTCTTTCACAGATCTCTCGTTCTCTCTCTTTCACAAATCTCTCGTTCTCTTTCTTTCACAAATCTCTCGTTCTCTCTTCTTTCACAAATCTCTTCGTCTCTCTTTCTCTTCTTTCACAAATCTCTCGTTCTCTTCTCTTTCACAATCTCTCGTTCTCTTTCTTTCTCTCTTTCTCTTTCTTTCACAAATCTCTCGTTCTCTTCTTACAAATCTCTCGTTCTCTTTCTTTCACAAATCTCTCGTTCTCTTTCTTTCACAAATCTCTCGTTTTCTTTCTTTCACAAATCTCTTGTTCTCTTTCTTTTACAAATCTCTTGTTCTCTTTTTTCTCACAAATCTCTCGTTTCTTTTCTTTCCACAAATCTCTCGTTCTCTTTCTTTCACAAATCTCACAAATCTTCGTTCTCTTTCACAAAATCTCTCGTTCTCTTTCTCTTCACAAATCTCTCGTTTCTCTTTTTCACAATTTCTCGTTCTCTTTCTTTCACAAATCTCTCGTTCTCTTTCTTCCAAATCTCTCGTTCTCTTTCTTTCACAAATCTCTCGTTCTCTTTCTTCACAAATCTCTCGTTCTCTTTCTTTCACAAATCTCTCGTTCTCTTTCTTTCACAAAATCTCTCGTTCTCTTCTTTCACAAATCTCTCTTTCTCTTTCTTTCACAAATCTCTCGTTCTCTTTCTTTCACAAATCTCTCGTTCTCTTTCTTTCACAAATCTCTCGTTCTCTTTCTTCACAAATCTCTCGTTCTCTTTCTTTCACAAATCTCTCGTTCTCTCTCTTTCACAAATCTCTCGTTCTCTTTCCTTCACAAATCTCTCGTTCTCTTTCTTTCACAAATCTCTCGTTCTCTCTCTTTCACAAATCTCTCGTTTCTTCTTTCACAAATCTCTCTCTTTCTTTCACAAATCTCTCGTTTCTTTTCTTTCACAAATCTCTCGTTCTCTTTCTTTCACAAATCTTTCGTTCTCTTTCTTTCACAAAATCTCTCGTTCTCTTTCTTTCACAAATCTCTCGTTCTCTTTCTAAAATCTCTCGTTCTCTTTCTTTCACAAATCTTCTCGTTTCTTTCTTTTACAAATCTCTCGTTCTCTTTCTTTCACTAATCTCTCGTTCTCTTTCTTTCACAAATCTCTCGTTCTCTTTCTTTCACAAATCTCTCGTTCTCTTTCTTTTACAAATCTCTCGTTCTCTTTCTTTCACAAATCTCTCGTTCTCTTTCTTTCACAAATCTCTCGTTCGCTTCTTTCACAAATCTCTCGTTCTCTCTCTTTCACAAATCTTTCGTTCTCTTTCTTTCACAGATTTCTCGTTCTTTTTCTTTCACAAATCTCTCGTTCTCTTTCACAAATCTCTCGTTCTCTTTCTTTTACGTATCTCTCGTTCTCTTCTTTCACACTCGTTCTGTTTCTTTTACGTATCTCTCATTCTCTTTCTTTTACAAATCTCTCGTTCTCTTTCTTTCACTAATCTCTCGTTCTCTCTCTTTCACAAATCTTTCGTTCTCTTTCTGTCACAGATTTCTCGTTCTTTTTCTTTCACAAATCTCTCGTTCTGTTTCTTTTACGTATCTCTCGTTCTCTTTCTTTCACGAATCTCACGTTCTCTCTCTTTCACAAATCTCTCGTTCTCTTTCTTTCACAAATTTCTCGTTCTTTTCTTCACAAATCTCTCGTTCTCTTCTTTCACAAATAGCACAATTTCTCGTTCTCTCTCTTTCACAAATCACTCGTTCTCTTTCTTTCACGTCTTTACTTAAGTCGCCGGAAACTGAAGTACTTTTCTTTTCGTCCGTCGCGAGGGCCTCCCGGAGTGCAAGTCACCGTGATGTAACGAGAATCTGGCTGAGCTTTTGGCTGTCAGGGAGCGAAGATGTAAAGGGTTTCTTCATATTGCTATTGTTTCCTTTTTACTCTTTCGGTCTTTTGGGAATTAATATCTGCCTTTGATAATCTTGTGGATGTATGTTTATACTCTTTCGGTATCTTTGGATTAATATTTGCATTTTCTTTGGTTCTTATGGATGTATTTTTATATTCTTCCAGTCTTTTCGAATTAATATTTGCCTTTTCTTTAGTTCTCATAGATGTATTTTTTTTATATTAAATAAGGAGAAGGTAGGTTTCAGTAACTGACTGGAGCCACGGGAAAGACGGTGCCGCAAGCTAGCATAGTATTGGGCGCCATTTGTCATGTTTCACCCCGGCGGCGACCGCGCCCCACCCATTCCGATTCGAATGTTGCTTTCTAGGCTCACTTTTGGGGACGTCAAGTTCGACTCCACCCCTTTCCTTCCGCCGCGCCAATATAACTCGACGCGAAGGCTCCGTCGGTA